GCGGTAATTGTTGCGGTGGTTTTACGACCAACGCACTGACACGAGTGACGTTTAATGCTAGCCGGATGAATGCGCAATTCACTGATTTGTTTCGGCAGAGGATACCGTTTCGTTTCGCTGATTAATTCTCTCAATATTAATTAGATGACCCTATAATTCGCATCGGAATTCAAACAATTGTATATTTTGAATTTATAATAATTTAAATAATTTAAATGTATACAAAATTCTATTTTTAATTTTATGTAAATAATGTATGATACAATTTATCATTTAAAGAATTATTTAAAACGCATCGAAATATAAAATATATATTATAATAAAATTGAACTAATCTAAATTAATTTTGATATGTGAAAAATATTTACGTATGTGGTACATGTAATAAGAGTTTCAAGTAAACAGCAGCTGTAGTACAAGCATGCGCTACAAGTTGGCGACACCAATCGGACGTGTACCGTTTGTACTTTTATATACAATAGTAGCTCGCTGTCTTAAGATATTAAAAAATGATTCAATTATTCACAGATTCCTCATTTTACTTAGATTTCGTAACAGCAATATCGCTGTCACCCTTTTATGCACAATTTATGTATCTTACATTTTAAAAAATACATAATTAAAAAAATACATTATATCAATTATTAACACTTATAATCCTTTTTCCTTTCACACTCAATGCAACTATTGCAGTTATCTAAAAAAATGACTTCTAAATCTAAATATCATAAATTAATTATTCTTTGACACAATAGGGCAATTCACTTTTACGTTGTTCCATTTCTACCGTTCTACTCGGCAATTGCGAATATACCGTGGCACAAATGGTCGCAATTGAAACCGCTAAGAAAGATATTTTACGTTCAACTCGCAATAAGCTGCGGGCCGAAGTAAGAGAACGGCGTGTGAGTCGCGACTTTGTCGTTCGGGCGGTGCCGTTTCCTCCCAGGAAAATAATATCCCGGTGGTGAACGCGTGGATATTCGCCCGCTTGAAAATGGCGCGGCCTTACGTCCCAATGGCTTTAACGTTATTTCCGACCGAGATTTGCCTGAAATTTGCTTCCGTGCCGGGACCAGAAGCCCATAAATATGTAATACCTCCCATATCGTGCGGCTCGGTTGCCCCGCTCCCTATTTTCTCTTCGTCTCGAGCCCCCCTACCTCCCCCCCCTCTCTTCCCCTCGTCGTCGCTTTTGGTGACTCTTGCAACCCCTTACGTGTTTTTGCGGGGCTGTAGCTCGCGGCGATGTACAAGGGGAAACGCGGTAAATCATTTGTCCCGAAAGAAAACACAATGCAATATCCCAGTCGTCCTGCTCGAGACGCCATCACCCGCGTCTTTCCTCTTTCTTCCTCCTCTATTTGCTGCCGATATCTCTTCTTTCCTCCTTTCTCTCTTACTTTCCATCTCTCACTCTATTTTTCGAGGGAATTGCGAAAGCCATAAGTCAGCCCTTATATTGCCGAAAATACTTTAAAGTGTCTTGCAGACCCGTGCGGACGCACCTCGAGAAAGCGCATTTTGCCTCTTACGAGAGCCTAGACATGTTTTATCGCTGCTGTTAAACGGACAGCAGAAGAATGACACACACGGGCCGAACGGAGGTGGATGCGCTTTTGGGTGACGATTTTCGAGAAGCGCGACGCGACCGGGGGTCGTTAAAATCGCACGGGGCTCGCCGCGAAAAGGATAACGCTCCCTTCGGTTATTTATAACGGACATTTTTTACCCCAAACACTTTACGAGCACACGCGATTATTGGCCAAAGTTGACAATGATCGTGCGAACTTTGGCACGCCGATACCAAGATTACAAAATAAATGAGGAAATAAAACATGTCGTGTCGCTGCTAATAATATCGTGTAGATTTGTAAATTCGTTGCATACTTTTTAAAGTATACGCTTGAATTCATGCTGTGTACAAAAATATAGCGAATTCAGTCACTTGCATTTAACAAGATCGTACGTAAAAGCTGCTAGATATGAAATTGGCAAAATTAAATGTAAAAGCATATAAATATCTTAAACAATTTAAATACCCAATGATAGTATTGTCATATTATTTAACAAAATATACATGTATTATTTCACTGTCAAAGGTGATTGTATTGCATTTAGATATTTTACATAAAGCAACCTTTATGCCTTTAACATGCATTAATCCAGAGTAGGGCGAATGAACCGAATTCATCAATAGAGAAACATCGAACTTCTTAATCTCTTGGAGAAGAAAGAGAAAAACATTTTCTGCACTTTATAATAAATCTCTTGTACCAAATTTATGCAACTTATAGGTCAATGCTACTTTCCCAATTCGAGTACCGAGCGATAACGCAGACGCTATACCATTTATATACCATCGAGTCGTGCATCGAGCAAGGGTGGCGCGCATTAGAAATCCTGGTAAGTTTGGCGAAGCGGCAGGAAACTCGGCATATTTTTCTCCCAGTTATCGAGAAAAGAAGGAAAGAGAAGGGTAAACCGCGATCCCGAAAGCATTTCTCGACGTAACCTAAAATAATGCCCGACAGAATCGAACAAAAGCATGAATTATGGACCCGAACCCGTCGCCATAGATCTCTCACCCACCCGGTAACTTATGATACACTTCCTTTCGGCATATGTGAAGGAAAACAGTGTAGTACAAGCACGACCAAGGATCCTTTTGTAATTTAACGGACGCGCTCTCCTCTCGGCAACCTCTCGGCGACCTCTTAAGCTTTTTGCTCCGAAAGAACCATCGAGAAGTCCTCCTCGCAACATTGCGACTTAACAGGACTTACATTGAGGGGAAAAAAACTAAAAGCCGATGACAAAGTGGCGCAAAACATTCACCAGTTTATCCCGTATTATCCCCATGTCATATGAAATCAGTACAAAACACTTTTCATCAATTCAAGAAAATACGCGCAATAGAATAATCGTTTATAAAATCACTCGAATCTTCGCGAGATAATAAAATTTCCTTGTGTCAACGAGATCTTTACCGCTATTCTGTAACTCTCTTAACGACAGTATCGTTATGTTATCGTTGCGCAGGTATTTTACCATGTTGCATATATAAAACCTACACAACAACAATGTAATGACGTCGACATTGTCGTTTTAAGAGTTACAGAATAGGGGCTCTTATCGCAGCAAAATGGCGAGTTGAACGTCCGCAAAACCCGAAGCTTTTATCCTTTTATAAGACGACTTAGCGGAATGCTAAGTTAATGTACGATAAATGTTCAACTCGAAGTTACTTGAAAGAAGTCGGCGCGTCGCGAAAGCGATTCCGGCGAACGTCGTTTCATCGCCGGCGGTAATTTCACGATTGATTCGCCATTAGATTCATGACCCTCATGAGGAATTCATCAGCAGCTTGGCCTGGCTGCCGAAACTCCTCGTCGGCCATGAATACTTAGCCGGTCTCTGATGTTTCGGTCTCGATCGATTCCCGTACGAGCCAAGAGTGTCCGAGGCTGTTGACCCCCTTCAACCTCTTCCTCTTCCTCTTGCTAGCCTCCCATCTCCCTGCCTCCTCGCGTTTTCGGCTTGGTTCCAGTTTGCTTTCTGCATAGGCGCAAATTATAATGCCGGGGCTTAGAGATCAACCGCTCTGACAAATTACAGGTTTGTTCACTGGACAGCAGTAGATAGATTTCATCGTTCCATCACCGTCGCTTCCAAGCAGACTTGCGCGCAGGCATGCATATTAATTCGATTTTAATCTGAATCTCTCTCTCCCTCTTTCTACCTCTCCATGATATTGCCTGTTCGACATTATTTTTACGTCATCCAAACTCGTTCGATCAGGTGCAATTTACCGCGGAATAGAAGAAACGATTCTTTTTATCCTACTTTAATATTTTGACTCTATGAATCTTGAGATTTCAAAAAAATTTAAACAATTAATCAAGTGTAATCTACATCAACGGGCATTACACTAACATGTTTACGAAATCTTTGATTTATTGCGCGCTCAATTGCAATTGCTATATGAAGCGATGCTTTTCCGGTCTCCACAAATCAACGTGTATTCAGTGCCATCAGGAGATAGGAGATCGTTACGCTCAGTCACATGCGCAATCCCATTCACGTACACATTGCGAGACGAAGGAAAGTTCCTTTCGCGTAAGACGACGCCGTTTCCGTCTGCCGTTTCCAGCGGGAGAAGACAGGGTGACCGGCCACAGAATTAATTGCAACGACCGTGTCTTAATTGATAACGAAGGGCATTAAGATTTCGCGTAATGCCTGCAATGGGGGAGCAGGGGGGGGAGGGTAAAGAAAGGGATAGACGGATAGACGGACGAACGAAGGAGCAAGGAGGAATAGCAAGAGGAGAAGGATCCTCGACGCCGAGAAGCCCAGACTAACGGCCGGTTGCAGAAGGAGGAGGTGAAATAATGCCGGGCGCGAGAAGCCGTATTTGCATTAGCTATTCGTTTGACCCTAAAAACTGCCTGAATTGCACCGATGGCTGCTCGTAAAGCCCCGGCAATATCGCGGCGAATCGCGCTCCTCGGGCGTGCTCGAAATCCGAAACTCGGAAGCCGCGCTGCAACAGCTCGGGCAAAATTAATGTCGCGACATGGAGGCATAGCCCTCTGCTGGTCCCTTTCCCCGAATGATTCGGCAACTCGAAGAAGAAATGTCGGTTATCGCGAGCTTTACAGCCGCAGCGCGACGCGTTCACGTAGCTCACGAGAGACGCGACGTTTCTCGCGCTTATTTAGTTTCTAACGTCGTGGAAAGTGTCATCCACGTGTGTTTATGTACACGCAAACGATAATACATGATTATTGGAATATGACGGAAAGAACGAATGTTCTTTACCATGATTAATGTGCAAGAGATTTCGCGAAGAGACGGAAAAAAAAACTCCAATATAATCAATGACGACCGCGATAAAATGTTAAAGACGGACGCAGGGCGGAGTCAATAAGTCATGAACAGCGAACACGCTCGTACCATCGTCGCTTGTGAATTAATCAGGAAAAAAGGCGACTCACCGTCACGTGCCGCTACTGGATGATCGCAGACGTCGCAGAACATCGATCCTTTCGCCGATCGCGTGTCCACCATCGTAGACGGTTACAACCATGATGAATATAACTCTCGGCGTACAATGTATCGGACTTTACGAGTGCCCACCTAGAAAAAAAAAGAAAGATGGAGCGATGGAAAATAGCTGCAGAGAGACGGGAACGGGCTTGAGGGGAAGAGACGGACGGCGAAAAGCGATGGAGAGCACTCAGATTTTATTACGTTATTTTGTTAATGCAGCGAGCGAGGAGGAAGGTAGAGAGAGGTGGTCGACGCGCCTCGAATGTCCGACCACGAAAAATATTATGTCCCTCGGTCAGAAAACGAGCCATGAAATCTTTTTATCTTCCGTGTTCGACGACGCCACCCCCGAACCCGCAGAATTTCACCTATGCGCCTTCCTCATCGAGGTATCGCTTCAAACGCGAAGCGGCATGTAATAGAATACCGTAATATATAAAAATGTCCATCATTTGTCTAATAAGTATAATAGGAATCTCGTATAAAGAAAAATTTTATCCTTCTTTTATTATATCTAAAGCCACCATGTGGCTTTTAGATAAATTCGGTTTTGGAATATCATATATAATATATGGAGGAAAATATGACAATTTATTTCAACTCCTCATCTGGATCTTTTTGACGCAAGTGAAATTTCACTTTCAAATTTCTCCGAAATAAAGGAGGACGGAGTCTGATTTCTCTTCTTCTAAAATAATTGAGAAAACTACGCATTTGATAATGCAATAAAGATGTTGAAAAATAACTCTGAATTTTTTCGTTCTTTTGAAAGCCTATAAAACAATAAAAAAAACTTGAACAAAAAGGTCCAGATTGAAGGTGCAGATGAAAGGAAATAATTGTAGACAAAGGATTTAAAAATTCATTCGCAAAAATCTTGAATTTATATAGTCAAATCGAAATTGTTTTTTGTTTAAATTTAGTTAAACTCTTATTATCAGGGAATTAATGTACGTCCGTTACATAATATTATTTTTTAATCTAGTTATTAAAATTAAAACGTAACTTCCTCTTATCAGATATAACGTTTTAATTCTACACATGAAGTAATTTTGCCCAGGACATTTCTCTTCAGCAATCGCACTATCAGAATGCAGGGTCCCTTTTTTTCAAGCGACGGCAGCAGTGGCGGCGTACCACGTACAAACAGGGTTAATAAAGAAAACGTGGTACACAGCGCCGACAATAAGATACTGATAAGCGGAAAACATGTTACGGTATGGTATAAATAGAAACCACTACCGTCAAAAGAAGTCGTAAGCAGTTGCCGCACGTACGCAATTTTAGCCGCAGCGACAATGCTTTTTCATGATTCGTGGATTTTTTGCTTGAATGTCGCGTCCACACACGGGATTTAAAAGCTCTCGTCTGACGATAACGTCGGAATTTAATGTCGCATTTTTGACATCGCAAGAAGGAAACGGTATCACGTAAATTTTGATAATAACCCTAAATACTACGCCTTAACGTTTGCATCGGCATAATTGGCTTCACTCGACACTTAAGATCGGTTTAAAGTGCTCATCTTGAAGATCATTGTGCTTCTCTACAAGGACGACGTATGTCTGTCAATAAATGTGCCCGGTGATATTTTAACAGCAGCAATAATTTTCGTCGCGTCATAAATCAACGCGCGGGTACGATGTGCAAAGGGCACACCCTTCGGAAACCTTTTCGCGCGGAGGATATGATGGCGTAGAAATGCCGAGTATGTTTCGGGATGTGACGCCTTTGTCCCCTATGTTTCTCATATTTATAATCAAATCATTTTCAGTATTTTCAAGATCGCGCAAAACGAAGAATGTGCAGTTTTACAAATATAAATTGTTATAATAATTAATTTATAATTGTATTATTCATTATATTAATTATATATTGTATATTTATTACACATATAATATGATATATGTATATAAAATAAGTTATGTAATATATAAAAAGTTTAAATAAATACTAAGAAATTTCAAATATGTTTAAATTTATTGTATCATGTAGGTTTTTTTATAATTCTAAAACGCGAATGCACTTATGATCAACACGAGATGTAAACTATAATTTAAGTGTATGAATGAAGTCATACGTACTGCAGGGGAAACTGTAGTTTAACATTCCTAAAGGTATACGTGTCATATCGATTCTGTAGCGGGCTTATACGATGGTAGCCTCAGTGAATTCCTTGCATGAGTCACAGGGAGTACCAGTACGTCTCCTACTCCACTTAGAGTCAGATAATAATCACGCGATCGCATAAAATGCATGAAGGTACTTCATCGCATATCTCTTAACGGTGGTCTATATATTTCTGCTTAGAACGTCAAATGAATGTCCGCCGAAAACATGCATCGGTTGAATCCGTAATAAAAATCTGTACAAAAAAACGAATGGAGATACATAAATTATATACACATTTATCAGATAACTCTGTAAATAAAACAAACGAGGCGTATAATCCATCATATCATAAATCTCATTTCTCGAATTAATCCGCGTAAAGCTACGTTAATGAGAAATTAAAGGGTCTATATAATCCCAAATAGAATGAAGTAAATTCGACGCGGTGATTGCGAATTTCAAGCGACATCGTACTATTAAATTTACATGAATCGCCAGTCGATGCGATTTGCCGCGCCCGTCGAAATGTGACGGGAAATCCGTCACGAACTCCCATCACCCTCAATGCGCGGCTTGCGTTAGCATCGTATACTAACAAATGTCAAATTAGAGAAGCGTTTACGTGTCGCGCCAGCTAATGGTTTTCCGACGAGCACGAAATAAAACGTCGTACGAGATAATTCGACAACCGTGAACGCACGTGGCCACATCGTTAAGAAACACGTCATGTATACCTGCGACGGGAGAGTCGAGCGAAGCGGTTTACATGTCTACCCTTCCATTTACATAGCATGCTGATAGGCCTGAGGCGCAACATCGTGTGCACGGGAAAAGACGATATATCATAATTCCAAGCTGAAGATCGAATCAATCACTTTACCCGCGCGTGCATGTATGTGTAAAATAGCGCAAATAATATACATACGCATACTTTGTCGAATATGTATAGTCTCGAATAAAGAGGAATATCGAAGTAGATGACACAGTAATAATTTATATTAAAAATACCGAGACTAAATTGTCATATCACATTGCTATTACTATGTAATAAAATCTTTTATCATATATATTTGTGCGAATTAACTGTGAAATCAAACTATGCATTTTCGTGAAAATTTTAGGGAAATAGGATGCACGCGTGGAATGCGTTCCTTTGAAAATAATGTCGATGAGCCGATAAAGTATAACGAGGTATACTCTAATCGGCTCCCCTACCAATTTTTCAATCCCCATTTTACGTTTCGCGACGTGTTTTCCATCCGAGTGCGCATGAAAAAAATCCACAAAGCGAGCTTGAAATTGCCTTGCCGGAATCTCGATAGTGTGAGTCATATATGCGCGTAAAACATTTGTACTTTCTGTACTCACAAAATGTATTACATACATAAATACATGTGTATACACACACACACACACACACACACACACACACATATCAATGTTAAATTCATAATAATAACTGTTATATGTACATAAGAGTAATGAATTTTTATTTTCAAAATATGATTTGCTGATAAAATAAGTTTCTATTGTTTTTCACATATGAAAAGGATAGATAAATAGGGGAACTGTTATATTCGGTGTATCACAGTATTATTAGAAAATCTTTAATATACTCAGCTCCACACACGTTCGATTAATAGCCCAATTTCAAAATAATTCCGTATGATGAATCTGGATTAAATGTAAATAAATTATTGAGTGGAGCGTGTTTCTGCGAAGCCGCCTTGATTATTTCCTGAGCCACGATACCACCAACGATAGAACAAACTGGACTGAGTTGCCCATACAAATCACTCCTACAATTACAAAAATATTATTATACATGTAAACTTTTTGATCGATTAATTTACGTGTCAAAGCTGTTATACATACTCCACTAAATTATTTATTTTATCGCCTAATTCATATTTTTTAATAATTGCAGAAGCTTCATTTTTCAGGTTTTCACAACCTCTTTCATTAGGCAATGGATCTTCACCATACTTTTCGCGATAATTCAGCAATACTAAAAAAATTTATTATTTAGACTATCTTTAAATATAAATGTTTACTTTAAAAAAAAATTTCTAATTTTAAAACATACTTAGCATCATATAGTAGATTTTTTCCTCTTTACTTAAAGATGTTTTTGGAACATTTAAAATAAACTCAAATGGTACAAAAGTTTCTGTGCGCCTTTCACTAATTGTTATGGTTTCAATCTTTTCTTTACCCACAGGTTCACCACCTTCCGGTATTGTGACTTTCTTTGATTTTGACACATCCCTAAAAGATTTTTAGATTTTATTTATTTACAAAACATTTGCTCTTAATATACATATGTCAAATTAAAAAATGTAAATATACGCACTCTACATATTCATGTTCTTGTAAATCTATAAATACATAACCAAGTCCTCCCCATACATCTCCAGCAAAGAATTTGACTTTTTGGTTTCTACATGCTCGATTAATCCTCTTTAACTGGGTAATAGTACAATGCATAGCACATACTATATCAAACTGTCCAAAATATTCGTCAGGCTTATCATCAACCTTGTCTAAATCTGCATTAACGTTAACCATGGGATTCAAGTTTTGCGCTCTTGGCAATGATGCTTCGGCTTTCTGTGAGCAATTATTTCAATACATATTTATTCATGCAGCAAAATAGTATAATCTGCTATTTAATATTTACATTATTTCCAATATCTTCTTTCGGAATAAAGAATTGTGAACATCTATCCAACTCGGTCGCATTTCTATGGTCCAAAAATGTAACGCTTTTAACTCCAGCTAAAATAATGTTTTTAGCAATTTCTGCTCCGAAACCATCTAATCCTATCAAAAGAATTTTTGCAGCTCGCAATCTGTGAAAAATATAGATAAAAAACAGTCAAGAAAATAATATTTAACAAAAATTTTTATAAACTATTCTAAAATGTTAGATTTGTTTTTTATCCCTACATTAAACTGCATTAGAATTTTTTTCATTTTCATTAAATATATATAAAAAATATACTTATACTGTTGTAAATTCCGAAAGTATATACTAATTCAGTTGATAGAAAACAGACCTATTTCTGTTTTTTAAAAGATGTACGTACTCGGCAAAAAGCAAAGAGAAACAAATTATGTCCAAAAATCTCAAATTAATTCCAAAAATCTTCCTACAGCCGTGTTATGCATATCGCATTTGTAATTTGGAATTTTCACAAAACGCCGGTATTGATTCCGAATTAGGTTATGTATTCATAAATTTACGAGACCTACCGTTTCTGTGAATCCAAGCCCCACAGACGAAGTTGCCTGTCATACAACTCGGCTTCATGATCCGTCAACTCTTCTGTTTGTTTGTGATCCAGCATTGTAATAAATTATTTATTTTTCACTGGAATACCACGAATCGCCGCCAAAAGAGAAGCGTCTCAGAATTTTTCGATATATAACCAATATAACGTCAATCTAAACCGCCTATGAGTATAAATGTAATAAAGAACTACTATTTGCGTTCAGAAAATAATAATTTCGACCAAACTTCGATTAACTTAAAAAATTAATTTAACAAATAATACTTGCAATATTACTTATCAATATAAATAAAATTATTAATTTTTATTACTTTACATATCAAGAATAAAATTAGACTAAAGTAATATAGGATAATAACGAACTACATTCACAGTCGTCTATGATTGGCGCATTACACTCACCAATCAGATCTACTTTCCAAAAGACGACCATATTGTATTTTCTGAACGCAAATTGTCTATTGTCACGGAGAAAGGGGTGGGATAGGAAAGAGGAAGGGGGAAAGGGTGTCAAAAGTTGTTGATTGTCACTGATTGTCACGTAGATAGTGTGTTTTCAGATTACTGGAGAGACGCGAGATATAAACGGTATTCATTTCGAATTATTATATAAAAATTTACATTTAAAAAGTCGTCAAATCGCATTGTCTGTCCGACAGTGCAAAAAGATCTCTGCGTATGCGAGTTCTAGAGGTTATGTTCATTACAACAAGTTGACAGATTGTTACAATCGAAACATACAATAGTCGAATAACACATATCAAAATCAGTAGAACAATGAGTGTCAGTACATATTCTCTATTAACATGGTGTATTCCTCCTTCCTTATTTTTATGATATTTATTGCAAAATATGAGAAAAATGTATATTAAACGATCAAATGGAATGAAAAAGCCTTGCAAGAAATTGTGACAAATGTATAAATGTAAAAATAGTAGATATAAACAAAAAAAAAAAATTTAGCTTGTTCATCAAAAACAATTTGTAACGACATCTAAAATATAGTCTACATCTTTTTTATTATTCTTATAAACTTTGAGTTAATTAAATTAATTTTACTTCTTCATTCTTTTTATTTTCTCAAAAATCTTTTTTAATAAGTAAATTACAGTGAAGCATCTTTTCGAAGGCACAGGCACTTTTGGAGAAGTGATTATTGTAAGATGATCTTACTAGTTTTTTAATATTTTTATTTTCCTTATTTAATTTGCTTTATTATATAAATTTATATATATATTTAAAGAAATAATTCTGAGAGATTCTTTTATACTAATATTTAAATTAATCGTAGATCTATTTATCTGAATCTATTTATCTGAATTATTCTACAGTATAAACTAAATCACAAACACAACTTATTTATTGTGCAGTATTTTGATGTTTATTACAGCTAGTACTAGAGCCCCCGTAAATCAATAAAGTAGAAGCGATCGAATAATATAAAAACCGTTCTTTTTATCATTTAAATTATAATTGAAAACTTACTGTGTCAACAATATATATATTTAAACTGAAATTGAAATGAAAGTTGATCGAAAAAATTGTCTTATTTCAAAAGTACTCGATGCTCACTTTTTGCTGACATTTTACAGATGTTTTCACTACCATGTTTAAATATTTATTTAGATAATATTTGAATGAATTTACAGGCATTCAAATTTGTAGTTGCTTAAAGTTGAAATTAAAATTAATTGGCTGCCGCTATCATTGAAATAAATGTAGACAATAAACATAATAAAAACCTGTTACTGAGAATTATCTTTACCCTTTTAACCCGAATGTTGTGAAAGACTTGACCTTGGTGAGATAAGTGTACCAATCTTTTCAAGTCTTGTAATATCTATATTAATAAGAAAACTAATTATATAGAATTTATTACTCTAACCGCGGTTATTAACTATATGATTTGTTTCATTGTACTACTTATAATGTATACTATTTTGCATATCTACTTCTTATAAATACAAATTCATTACAAAAATTACATGACAAACAAACAAATATTATTGAAGACGATGAATAAAGCAGAAGAGGAATACGTCGAAAAAACATTCGTCTACAAATTTCCAACATGTACTACAAATCAAGAATACACGTTGGAAATTCCGTTAAAAATACCATATCATGGCTCCACAAAAGAGTTAATGCATCGTATAATGTCATCGTTCAAGCTACCATGTTATGTGGAATCAGATTTGTTGAAATGTCTGCAGCGTAATATCAAGGAATTTACACTGCAGTTTCATGATGAAAAAGCAGAGAAATTTATCGAAGCTGCCAAAGCAGGCAGTTTAGATTTAGAAGAAATAATTAAGAACTGGGAGAAAATATACAAGCAGAAGACAGTAGAATATTCCGATCCCATTGGGACCACAGATGAGGAATTATTTGCTGCGGCGTATCACAGATTAGTGCATTCCCCGTCTTTAGAACCAATTTTGCAAGAAGAACACAAATATGGACGAGATGTTACTGAAGTAATTCAAATGAGGGATACCGACTATGAACGTCTCACGCAAAAGTTAGTAATATTTTACGACTTTTCTTTCCATTTCTCACTTTTTTATGTGTATGCATTTAATATATGCATACACTTAAAAATGTAAAGCATAAAAAATACGAATATGTAAAGAAATCTGACAACTTGTTTATTTGTTATTTATCAATTACCTTATTTTGATTAAAAATAATAAGAAAAAAAGGAAACAGTGTTTCAAAAGAAGAATTGTATAAATTCCAGACAAACCGACGAAATGCGCGTTGCCGTCGAGGCTCTCGAAGCAGGATCTACTGAAAAGTCCATAAACGACATGGCTGGTCGTCATTTCGAGGAACAAAGCCTATTACAAGGTTTCTGGGGATCCAAAATCGATGCTTTGAGATTAGATCAACGGCGGCAGTATCGAAATTGGATCATGAGGCTACTTGAAGAGCAACAGACCAGTATGGTATCCACACCAATGTAGGTGTCTCTTTTACATTTTGCTAATCAGTTTAAGAAAATTAAACAAATCTTATTGAGATAAAAAATGTATATTCTCACGCAATAGGGGTTCGCCCATAGTACCATTACCGCCGTTGCGTCCAGCTCTAGACAACTTCGTTCACAGCGAGGAGAAGCAAACGACAGATTATCCTCTGTTAGAAGAAAGCTTTACCATACATTTAGGATCTCAAATGAAACAAATGCACAATATACGCATATTGACCGGAGATGTGCTTGATTTTTGTCGTACAAAAAATAGCGAATCCGGGTATGTGTAATAATTTTTACGGAAGCATAAAATATACTTGAATCGATTCCTTAATGTCTATGATAAGATTCTGTCTCAATCGATTGTAATACAATAAAAATATATTATACATTTAGGATGGATCCAACGCCGCAAAGATTGCAAACAGCGTTAGAACTGTATTCGAACGATCTCTGTGGATTGGTTCTTCTAAGCGATAATCATTTAGGCAGTTATTCTGGAATAACAAAAGGTGCCTTCTAATAGACTACGATTTTCAAATTATTTTATCACTGGTTTTTATGCGCCTCTTGTAAACTTGAGTTCTGTATTATTGCAGAATTATGTTCGATATGTCAATTAACCACGGAATTCCATTTTCCGCCTATCGATGAGCAATTGGAAAAGATTCGAGAAGACGTGAAGGATGCCGTCGCCTGGAGGCAGGCGCATCACAGAGAAGGAAACGATTCCCATGTAGGCGACAGTATTAAAAATTTAATTTTATTTATGATTACATCGGCATGCAAAACCATGCGTGTTGTTTACAGGCGAAGAAATCCACGACGAGCAAGAGCCTACAAACAGGCGACGTTTTCATTACGAGACATTCCAATCTGGCGCAAGTTCACGTGGTGTTCCACATGGTTGTCAACGATTCTCTGAGATCCGGTAAACAACTAGCAGTTAGAAATTTCCTATCGAATTACAGAGTTAAATGCATATTATTGATTTTATAGGCGATATCAACTCAAGACATCCCGCTATTCTGGGATTGCGAAACATTTTGAAGACAGCATGTTGCAACGATGTAACGACGCTTACAATACCCGTGCTGCTTGTCCATGAAATGTCAGAGGTAATATATCGCTTAGATAATTCAAACGAATAATTCTTAGATAATTAGGCGAAAAATATAAGTAATTTACAACGTGCCGCCATAGGATATGACGGTCGCCTGGTGCACAAAACGGGCAGAATTAGTTTTCAAGTGCGTCAAAGGTTTCATGATCGAAATGGCCTCTTGGGGTGGAGCCGAGCTGAAAAATTTGCAGTTTCTCGTACCGAAAGTAAGTTCGGCGATAAGCATAATCCACTGACATTAAAAGAAGAAGGAAAAAGATTGCACTCACGTCGATATCATTCTTATCGGTTGCAGGGAATGTCGGAGGAGGTATTTGGAACGTTAGCCACAATGTTGCCTAGTATATTTCGAGTATCGAATCCATTAGTTTTCAAAGCTACCAGTACTCCACAAACTCCGAAAAAGTGAACGATTCCTCGTGTCTTTGTTATCGTAGTATGCGTTCAAAATGTTGCTACATTTATTGTTATATATTATGTGCATATGTAATTTCAATTATTGTCCGCCGCAGGCATGGAAAAAGATATGACTGTGAATAAATGACTTTTAATGAGCTTTTTCTTTATATATTACTATTGCTATTACTTTCACACTGATTTCCCATGAAGTTCAATTGATATTCGCAATGTTAAAGAAATTTTCCATCAAATATCTTAGGATTTATTTAATGTATGCTGCATTTCTCTTTTTTAATGTTATTAATAGAATTAATTCCCCAAAACTGTATTATACCAAAAGAATACCCTAATTACATAATTAATTATAACTTCTAAAATATTATGAAGCTTCGAAAATAACGCAAATTTTTATGATTTTAAAAATTTATATTTTAATCTCTATAATTATGAAGTTCTAAAAATAATACGTAGTTTCATAACGAAATTCTAATCTTTAAGATTAAAAAGTCACTTCGAAAATAAACATAATTTTACGCATAATCCACCGATAATTATAAACGAGATGTGTGAGCAACATTATCGCCGTTAGATGCGCGGCATGAAGAGCGAGGTTTATCTCTCTTATTTTTATTTTCTGGAGCATAGCAGAGCAGATATGTTAACGTTTTTCGGGCGCGAGAAACAACGTCAATTCCATCATTCTAACGATATATAAATCTCGTGAACACGGAGATACCGTCGTTTATAATAATTGAAAAAATATGCGCGATTGATTGTGACGGAGAGACAATCGCTGATCGAGGCCCGATGAATTTACGGTACGCACGACTCGCGTAATCGCTGGTTTATCACAAAGTGGTACGTTAGCCTCGGTGATTCTGAACTTCTGACCGGGGAGGGATTAAATTAACACTGCTACTCTCGCGACGCCAACTCCGCTTCATTTTAGAAAAAAATTATTTGCGAGATCATAAACAATATTAGTGATCATTGGATCAAAAACACGACGATAACTCGCAAACTTTCTGGTATCTTTGAAGATAATACCTATAATATCCTAAAAAGCGTTGACATGATCATGTTTTTGTTGATACAACTATAAATAAAACAGTTAAATTGAGTAATTACGAACTACACGATATTCGAAAAATTTCGTTATCAATTTATATACAAACGTGAAATGAAAACAATGATGCTTCCATCGACATTGTATTAATGTGATATAATACAATTTCCAGATCAGATCGCAAGGAAGATTTCTGTTGAGATAAAGTAGAAAATTGTAATTTTTTGGAGCGACGTGGATTAGCAACAGGCGTATGTATACGCTGATCGAAGTGCGGAGTGCATTATAATGCGACGATTCTTCTACTCCCCCTCTTAATTCGGCACTGTAATCTTCGGCAGAGTGTCGCAGATGAATTCATTGCCATTTCATCGGATCGTAGTGCGGGAAGCATAGTTCACGTTAAGTGATTCTGGTGGTGTGGTCGGCCGATCGAGTGCATCGAAGATCGGATCGTTTAAAAAATCGACTAATCAGATAACTACTACCCGATACGATGCGGCTCGGATCGCTCGCGTTTTTCGTCATCATCATTTCGTACGTCTCGTCGACAACGGTGGGTTGGTTTTTAATTTCGCGATAATTCTACTAATCAGATCGTTTGTGAATAAATTTTACGATTTTCCAAAACACTCTCGATGACACTTCCATCATTTGTTTCATGAATATCAGTTTCCGGTTGGATATCAACTTATCGCTTTTTTAAATTTCATCGCTTTCCTGCGTGAACGCGTCTCTAAATTTATGCTCTAAAATTATGTTTCGAAAGACCGTCCTTTTTTTATTTTCGATAAATACGTGCAAAACGCTACTAAACAAACGAGAATTAGTTTCAATATTGTTCAATATTGTTTCAATCGCACACGTGTCGAGTAATTCGCATTACTACGACGTCGATTCAATATCGATTTTATTGTCATTTCTCACTGAGTGATCTAAAATAGTTTTATGTGAATGAATTAAAATTAAAAAGAGGCTTGCGTTGCAGGTAGACCTCTCATTTCGAAAAATGACGAAGGAAGATTTCTTTATAAGAATACAGAAGACGATCAATCTGCAAGAAGTGACGGATCTTAATTTAAGGGGAAACGAAATTGACAGTTTTTTAGATTGCTCTACTAATCTGGTGGCACTAAAAACACTAGATTTATCTCAGAATCATCTTCAGCGATTCTTCTTCTTATGCAAAGAAGAATACAATTTGCAATTGTTAAACGTAAGCCACAATAAGCTGGAATACATCGACGATAAGGCTCTCAATGATCGAATAACGAAACTGAAGATATTAGATCTTTCCTTCAACAAGCTCACTGTCGTCAACGAGACCATGTTACAACACTTAACGGTAATGTTATAGAATTTTTTTAATTCTCTCCTAAAACATTTCAAATTTTTTCACAGAGATTATCCATGAAATTGATTTTTTATCACGCATTTTTGCGCATTCATATATCACACACACAAAAGAATTTTTCACTGGAAAAGAATTTTTTTTTCAGATTCTCGAATATTTATCTTTGTCCTATAATCCCATAGGGGATGGAATTCACGAAAGTGCTTTTTGGAATTTAAAGGTCTTAAAACACCTAGACCTGAGTAACATATCTGCGCCATACTTTTTATCAGATTTCTTCAAGACCTTAACGAACTTGTCGACTTTGAACCTATCCTGGAACTCGATCAGCGCGATACCTTTATTACCGATAAATTTACAAGAGCTGGATTTATCTGGCACGCAAGTGATAAGTTTTGAGAACTTATATCTACCGCAGCTACGAGAATTGCGGCTAAACCACATGCCGAATTTGACATCGCTGACGCTGAATGATCTCCAGTATCTGACCAGTCTGGAGACGTTATCATTGATCGGTTCCAAACAGCTGGTCCTACTTAGTCTTTGGTCGCAAATCGGCATCGTGCTACCACGATTGCAGCGACTTTCGATAAAAGACTGCGGCCTCAAAACCTTGAGTGCCGAGCTGCGCCCTTTGATACAACGGATATCCGTTGTTGAATTGGAAAACAATCCTTGGGAATGCAACTGCAACTTGGAATGGATTGGCCTGTTGAATTCGACCAGGAATCTCAGTCGAGACATTAGGTAAGATATCGACGAAGATATTACTCTCAGTTGATAAGAGTTGCCAATATCAAATAAAAAGCAAAACAAATTTAAATGTTTAATATTCGCTTTTTTAAATTTATTCCGATTTATTTTTTTAAATAAATATCATAAATATCTCTTTTGCTTTTCTCGATAAAAATGTATTATAAAATGATATAACGACGATATCATGCACTGTTCATCAAGCTTCAATTTTATTTCTTCAGATGTCTCGAGAATTTCCGCGAGAAGAAATTCTTTTCCTATTATTACGAGATCACATTTTGTTAATAATAAATTCAATCTTTATAATATATTATTAAATTTCTTATCTCAAAGTAATATATAAAAAAGATGTGAATATTGAAACTACTACTGCAGTGTATTTTTTAACATATATTTTATCATTGGAAGATGGACCCGCGAATATAGAGACATAATCAATCACTTTGTTTAAACTTGTACGACAGATGCCACGAACCAGATCGATATCATGCCAAACTCCTGGCTGAAATCCTGAACTATGAGCTGCAATGTGAATACAACACGTCCGTCATCTATCCGATCCTGTGGACAGGCCTCTCGATATTGATCGTTGCCACGATCGTAGCCGCGGTCTTAGTTCTCCTCAGACGGCCAATAAGCCAATGGAGTTTCAAGAGAAGGAACGGGGATACCGTCACGTACAAAAACGTCGTCGAGTCGAACAATGATCTGGTCCGAATACTGGCGGTGTCCGAGACGCACGAACGCAACGAAGAATGAAGCCAAATTGAAAGTGGAAAGAGAAAGAACAACACAGACGAGTGGACGGAAAAATCGTCCGCTAACAGCGGACGTTTCAGCAAGTCTTTTTACAAAAAGCTTTATTGTAACGTTACCTTGTAATAACGTAAAATATCGTAATTGCGATGACCACCCATGGAAGTCGTCCTAAAAGATTATCTTATTGTTTTCTTTTTCACATAGATGGAATACGTTGGTTCACAGTATGTAAATAGAACAAATGTTGATTTAAGGTATTTTAAGTAAACAATATAGAAATTGAGTTTCTTTGAAATATTAAAAATTATTTTTTTTTTTGTAACGAGAAAATTAAAAATTTTCGAAAAAGATTACACACGAAAAGAATGATTGGAAGTATCCAAAATTTAGCTAGATACAAATCTGAAAATAATTTTGTTCGATAGTCAAAATGATTACGTAGGAATCTCAAGTATGATGATCGATGCTGCAAAAAGTTTCGACATTCTAACAATTAATTTGAGCGTCCTACGTTATTATTTTAACGATCTAACAAAATTATTTTCAGATCTGTTTATTCTGTATCTAATTAAATTTTTAGATATTTCAGCAAGATCATCCTTTCCGTGCAATAATCAGTCTAAAGTTGATTTCTATGCTGATAAGTAACGAATTATCTACATAATTATATTATCTGTATACAAACGTATCAAAATGAATTACGATCGAATGAGAAAAGTTTCTCTTCGCTTACATGAACTCGAATGATTACATTCAATGATCATATTCGAATTCTCGAACGGCATTCCCAGTGTCCGATAATAAAAACTGAAACCTCTGTGGTCGAATAAAACATTTGTGTCTCTTTTTTTCTAGCGGTAAGAATTGGCGTTTTGAAAACCCCTTTACCTTTGTTCCACACGGCGCGTCCGTTGGCGTAGCACAAAAGAAAAGCGGATACAAAGAACGCAATGGCTCATTTGCCCTGAATGACGGTAAGATCCTCTCTTCCGCGTAACGACGCGGCAACGCGTGGCGGTACGCACGAATTATCGTGCGTGGCATCTTGAGAACGCGCACGCAACTAATTGAAATGCTACGAGATTCCGCCAGAACGGGTTCCATTCCCGGTAACCTTCCGATTGACGGGCAAAAAGAGCCTTTTTCACAATTGAAGTCATCCTTGAATGTTTCGTTTCGACGTACCGTCTTCGAAAAATAATAAAAGAGATATTTCTCGAGTATCGTTCGCTTCAAAGAACAGATTATTAATGATCGAATTTAAAACTTCTCAAGTTCCGCCGCGAAACATAAAAAAGAAATAACCTTTTATAAATTTACCGATGGCTATATATTGTACTATATGCCTATACATTTGTATGAATACATACCTAATATTTCTGTGAATGCAGTCGTTCAAACTTCACACAAAAGTCATGATGACATTTGTGTTAATCATAAATTGGCCTCAAATTTTATAATATAAAGATACTATTAGAAATTGTTGACCAATCAAAAATTTGGTTATTATATTCAATTATCATTATATACGCAATGCTACGCCTAGTTTTACGTCATGTTGTATACAGTACGTCAAAAAGAAATATTTTTAATTCATCATTTTCAATTCGATCATGGTTTACATTAATATTTATTTCGATATAATGATCCAGTCTTGCGTCACAATGAGAACGATCGCACTCGCAATTCCATCAAACCTTTCGTATGCACTCGCCGATATACCGGTCGTTGATGAAACATTAAAGTGTAGGGCGTTACGCGTTCCGTTCCAAGAAGGGGCGCAATATTGGCGCGTTATGCGATGAGCCAGCAAATGGTGCTATGAAGATCGTCAGTTTACGTGACGTGCACCATGATCGCGTGCGATGTAGCGATCAGCCTTTGTATCGAAGTATGATCTTCCTATGGGAGAACCTATTAGGTTACGCCCGAGCAGAAAGAGAGAGCCCCCCACGGGCGAGGATGTCGTATTACCGGGGGAGTCACAATATGCAAAGAGAGGAGCGCAAGAAATCACTAAGGAAGAGATGCGCCTTCCGTTGATCGGAAGCCTGCGATTACAACTCTCCATGTTGGATTTTACACGCCTATAGGTATACAGGCTTCTTTTTAATTCCTCAACACGCCTTTTTTCGTAAACAAACAATACGTGTCTATTTGTTCCTTATCATTACTTTTTATTACTATCAGTTTACTCGTAGTTTATATTTTTTTATTGAGCAAGAATTGTCTTTTCTTTATTGTAAAAGAATTGACAAAACCACTTGATAGGAAGTTTAATCACTTTTTGTAATATATAATGTATATTTTGATTATTTTATAATATATAATTTATATTATATACTTTTATAACGTATAATATACTTTTGTAAAATATAATTTTAGAATGTATCAAAATTTCCGTATACGTAGGAGTTTTATTTTAAAAAATTTCATTTGTACGCGCGTTTACACTACTATTTACGTAATAGTTCAGTTTATCTGAAAAATCGCATTTACCTCGAACTTAATTCAGTTTCTAACGAAAAAAAACATATATTGCTGCTCTCCGAACGCGGTGTATCTTTTTTATACATTGAAACACATCAATTCGAACTGGCGAGAACTTCGCACCATTTTCCAGCAGGAGTGCGAGTAAAACGATTGAATATTGCGGAATATTTTTTCCGCCATACCGGAAAGCGGGCATGGACCACGAGGAACGTAAGGGAGGTAGGTTTCGATAGTAATAGTAGTAGTAGGAGGAGGAAGAGGAGGAGGAGGAAGAGGAATAAAAAAACGAGAGGTTCTACCCTCCTCGCGCGGCGGTGTCGAATGTCCGTAATTCGAGATTCCGTGCGAGCCAATTTGGCGAGAGCCGGTGGAAAAATAATACACCGCCTATATACCAGCACACGAGACAGAGATCGCGAGAGCGTGCGGAGGCGAATTTTAACGGTCAATGCGAAACACGTGGGCAGACCATGTCGGGTAATATCGTGTTTCGGACCCGTGAAGAAGATCCTATCCCCGGCGGGTCTTAAGACGCCCGGATAACCGTGCGGTGACGTTTTGTTGGAAAAACAGCGTGGGCGATATTGCTCGTACCCGATGACGGTCTACAGATACTTGCTCCCGAGTATTTAGCCAAACGAGACGATATATATCGACACCTTGGGACAACCAATATCCCTCCGAGCTTGAGAACCAAACGGATTGTATAAGCATTTTATCGAGTAGATCGAATAGATCCATCTCTAATGGATTGTATCAAATTAAATTTTCATCTCGCTAAATTGTAATGGATACCGATATGATTACTAATGAAATATTTTAATACATGTGAAAAGAAACAGTTTTGCTAAAGTATTAAAAAATTTAGCTGGGCACAGATTCTATAGAAATAATTTTATTAGACCATCAAAATAAATATGTAAGACGCTCAAAGCTGATTGTTAGAATATCAAAATTTTTTGCAGTAATTCTCGCTATGCTTGATCTGCTTGACGTACATAATTATTTCGTTAGTCCAGCAAGATTATTTTCAAATCTATGTATCGAAGTAAATTTTTAGATGCTTCAGCAAAATTATTCTTTCCGTATAAAATATTTCATGCCATTTCATGAAACTTGAGCGTACTTTTAACTACATCATCATTTATTAAAGCGCTCCATGCCATACCTATATCCAATACAAGTGTCGTGCACGCGTGTAATGTTTTTTTTTTTTTAATACTTTTTTAATACGTAAACGTAAGTTTTTCTGATACAACGAGAAAATTTCCCGAGACATGCACTTCGTTAATCAAGCGCGGCTGACTTGGCGCTCGGCGAAACATATTTTTGTAACAGCCCTCTACATTACGATTCGTTAAGCCAGCGTCTGCATTAACTAAGCTAATCCCTTAATTACGTTCCTCTTATTTCTCCTCGCTTCTTCTCTCCCGCCCTTCCGGCGGCGACTCTCACGCTTCCTACATCATCCTTCACTCGGTAATTAAAGAATTTGATAAAGTCTCGCGGTGTGTATATGCGGAAAAAAATCACGCTGCGAGCGTACACTCGTAAACAGGTAACTTTCGCACACGTTATGCAGCATGATATACAACAACAATTCATTTCAAGTCACCGCATAAATATCGCGCTTAATATCACACCGATTCAATTAACGTAATCAACGAATAATTATCGATCGCAAGAAAGAGCTTTATTTCGCACGTTCGATAATAGGATATTATGTGCGATGCAGTAGACACGCGAGATAATTTTGATTGCATCAAATTTAACTGGAGGAAGTTTCAATTTACTCGCGTACCGCATCTTGCAACAGTCAAATTGTCGTGAAATGACTGACAATCCTCTTCGGCAACTCATCGTCGATGCCTCACGGATATGTAACAAGATCCTCTGTATCAATATAACGGACATCTGCCTTCGTTAAACCACGTATTGCACTTACGAGCCCACGTCCAAATTTTGTGCGTCGCGTCGACCGAAAACGGCCGCCGCATGCCGTGGAGCGCTCGCCGATTTTCGCTGGCAGGGTTTTATCTGATTAAACCGACGTAGAAACATGGGGTTATACGTGTAAGCTCTCCGGGCCCGTCTATGGGGAGAGGCCGAACAAATGAATAATGAAAATAAAACCCTGGTGATGCTATCGGTAAGCACCACGGGATTACGTACGCATCAGCGCGCCCGCGATGAACTTATATTATGGAACCCCCGTATATACGAGCTATACACCACGCGCGCGTTACCGCACGCGTGTTAGTGCGTGAGCGCGCGAGTGCGTGAGTGCGTGCGTACGTATCGCCAAAGAAAAGCAGGCGGCTTTTCGCACGTAAGAGTTCGGCAAGTTTCTCTCGCAGGATGAGGATTTAAATGGCAAATTAGGAGTATATAACCTTCCCGTTACACATTTACGTGTAACGTAGTGATTTGTTGCTTAAAGGGAAATTTAGTATTTTATTTATAAATATATATGAAGCGCGCGAAAGATTTTATTCATGCATTTTGAAAGATTTCTCCTTGATTAATAATAAGTGAGTCTAAACTTTAATCTATGAGAATGTGATAATAATTTTATCCATTTTATTTACTTTTTGTCTTGTAAGATTAACAAAGACGTGATGTACGTATGATGGGAAATAAGGTAGGATGTAACAATGATCCAGTCTCGTCGAGCCACTCGTTTATTCGCAACTGTGGTGTGTGTGTGTGTGTGTGTG